TCTTTGTCCTGTGGAACAGCTGGTAGTTTCCAACTGCTGACCATGAGATTAACAGCCTGATTGGTGAGGCATTAATTGGCTCTGTGTAATGATTCCTGCCTTCCAGCCGGAGACCCGGGTTCAATTCTCAGCTGAGGTGGTTCAGGCTCTGTCACCACCCATCTGTCGGTGGAGGCTGTGTTGTTAGGATGCTGAACAGTTTTCAATGGACCTTGCAGACTAAGACACACTAGGAAGAAAGGCCTGGTGATCTCCTCTGAAAACCAGCAATGAAACTTCTGTGGGTCATAGTGGTTTGATCTGCAGCCAATCCTGGGGATGGCTCAGGACTAGGTAGCACTGGGTTCTGTTGTGTGCCGGGTCGCCATGAGTTGAGGACCAACACCATGGCAGCTCACAACAATGACTTAAAACAATAAAAAAGAAAGGAAATGCGGATAGGTCTCTTGTGATACAATAGGGGATAATTGTTATCAGATCTGATTGTGAGGATTGGAAATGTAAAGGTCGACATTTTGTAGCAAGGAGGGGAGTGATTAACTTTTCAGTGGAGGAGCAGAGGTAGCTGGGACCATCAAGGGAGAAGAGCAGAGAGCAGGACCCTACCCAGAGAAGCAGTGATGCCAGAGATGGAGGCAGAGACGATGACGTGGAGAGATGGGGCGGCTGGGGACTTTAGACTCAGATAGGGAGAGGGGCTGTGTGCTGATGCCTGGGGGGAGGAGGGGGGGCAGGCTTGTAAGATATACCCTTTGGTTGGTTGATGATGCATGGAGGAGATTGTAACCGTGGCAATGAAATGATATACAATAGGATGAATGTAAAACTAATGTTCTCCCATGTAAACTATCACATAATACACAATAAAACATAAAATAAAATTCAAAAGACCCCAACAAAAAACAAAACCCATCTGCTCAATTCCAACTCCTAGCTGCCCTGTAAGGCACAGTAGAACTTCCCCACAGGGTTTCCTCAGGGCCTTTGCTGAAGCACATTGCCACTGCTTTCTCCCACAGAGTGGCTGATGGGTTTCAGCCGCTAACCTTTTGGTTAACAGCCAAGTACTTGACCACTGAGTTATCAGAGTCCCATCAAAAAGGACTAGAGTTTATTATTTGTTCAAACAAAGAGTCGTGTTCTGGATGTCTGGAGGTTCCTGAGTCCTTTTCGGTGGTGGTGGTGGTGGTGGGGAGGTGTCTGTGAGTTCAAAACTGTTTTCTTAATGACACCATGACATGGCTTGCCTTTCTCACTCACATGGCATATTCATAAATAGTCTGGAGAGACCATTAAGATGCACCTCCCTTTTCCAACTACATGTCTGTGTAGGGCTGGATTTTCTTCATAGACGTCAGCTAAAACCGTGTAGTTTATCCCATGATGTGCAGAGGCGGATGCGGGAATCCAGCTGTCTTTTATTAAACCAGACATCAAAGAGATTTGCAAAATGTCAGACAGCGCCACTCAGTAGAGTCACTAGAGGGTTAGGGGGCATAGCCCACACTGGGTGACATTGTTGAGAGGGTGGGGGAAAGGGACCAAAACAACCATCACTGAAATTTCTGTGCAGTGTCTCTGCAGAAATTTATTTTTTTATAAAAATATCCTGTACTTAGTTATAACAACAAAAACATTTTTTCATAAAGCCAGCTTACATGTTTTAATATACCAACCAGACAAAAATCCTGTGCAAATTTACCTTTTGGTAAACGTGCTCAGGCCAGAGCTGCCATTATTACCCAATTACATCACTCATCACCTGTCTAGTTAACTGGCATTTCACATTTACACTGGTGGTGGCAGTGGTGACAGCGGTGGTGATGTGCCATGGAGTTGGTTCCGACTCTTAACGATCCTGTCCAGGGTTTCCGAGGCTGTAAATCTTTATGGGAGCAGAAAGCCTCATCTTTCTCCCATGGGATGGCTGGTTGTTTCAAACTGCTGACCTTGACGTTAGCATTTACACTGACTTGAAAAAAAAAATCTTCAAGGCTATTTTTCCCATTATTGAACTACATATGGCGGTAACAGACATTGGGGTGCAAGGCAAGAACCACGCTGGCTGCGATGGTTAACAGAATCAACTTCCCTGGGCCAGGACCCTCGGTGAAGACGTGACCCTTCTCTGTTTTTACATAATGCCACCTTTTGCAGAATGACCTGGTCTTTGGAACCTAACCAGGGCAGTAAGTGGCCTTACCATGGCGCTTTGTACCTGGTTTGTACAAACGAGAAAGACACACTGTTGTTTTCGTGGCTACCTGGGTTTTCATAGTAACTGATTTTGTTAAATTCTCTGTTCTTTTAGCTACACTATTGTGGCAATTTGTGAATCAATAACTTTTATTTTTTGCAAATGAAGTAATAATTGAGGGAAAAGAAGGAAACATTTTAAAGGCTTTTCTTAGTTGCAAACAATGTTGTAACTAATCATGTAGTTCAATGTGGGAAGGTTTTACAAAACAATTTTGTTGTTAGTATAGTCACAGCAATCTGAGGAATGTTACAGTTAAGCAATTCACACCTAACATTTGTCACAGATTATTCTGTGATTAAGATTGAAAGTAAACAATACCAAGGATTCTGTAAGCGGAGGGAGGGACCAGGTCATGGAGAAGGACACATCATGCTTGGGAAAGTAGAGGGTCAGCAAAGAGGAAGACCCTCAGTGACATGGACTGGCATGGAGGCTGTCAACAGTGGGCTCCAACGTAGCTACAATTTGAGGATGGCGAAGAACCCAGGAGTGTTTTATTCTTGTTGTGCCTGGGATCGCTTTGTCAGAACTGACCCGATGGCCCCTAACAACAGTGAAGATTCTGTATGGCCTAGTGCTAAGGAGAATCAGGAGGAGAAGGGGGACTTAGTTGCTATACTGGTGGCGCAAACTGGTGTCACTAAAGGTTTTTTCCCTTTTATTTTAGGAAAGATTTATTTTCTGAAAGTATTTATACCATTTTTGCAAACACGTAACAAGTTTACTTTTGTGATTTTAAGCAGATTAGCAAGTATTCTAAATATTGTGATTTCTAAAGCTGCAAATGCTAATAAATATAAGATTTATAAACAAAAGCTCTCTGGGGTCTTCTGTGACTTTTATGAATACAAACAAGGTCCTGAGATTGAAAAGTTTGGCATCTACTTATTTAGTTCCTTTTTGTCTTTTGCCTCAGGACAGAGTCTAAATATTGCATGTAAGAGTTCATTTCTGTGTGGCAGTATTAATATGGAATACAGGCTGGGTCAGTGGGTTTAGCTTGCAGCCCATCCTGGTTGGTCCGGTTCACTTCCAAATCTCTTTTTGAGTATGGGAAACATTAACAAGGGTCTAAAATGAAAATGTGTATGTGTGTTTAGCTTAAAAGCTCCCTCAGGGGCATTTCAGAAGAATAGTAAGGGCTGAACACCCTTGAGCGAAACAGTCTCTGTCATGCTTCCCAAGTGGGAGATCCTATAAATAAATATTTCTCAGACACTGAGCAGAGATCAGCTTCAGAATACGCTAGTGATGTCTTTCCACATGCCAAGTGTGGTAGTGCTTCTCCCTAAGGGAAGGGAATATTGCAGGGACCTGGCCAGTCCCGCCTTCCCTTTTGAGAGGCCCTGCGGGAGCCAGGTCAGGCTTATTAGGCTGGGCAGTGTGTATGGGGGAGGGCAGGGCACCATCTCCTCCTTGCCCTTGGTCTTCAGATCTGCTGTAGCCTGGTGTGGGCAAAAAGTAAAACAAGAACGGCTGGCTGCCCTTCTTTGGGTCCCCCCTAACTCCCTGAACCCCTTTCTTGCCCCAAATCTGAGTCTGTCCATATGGGGGAAAAGGGATGAAGTTAGGGTGGCATCTGGGGCCTTGTGATCAGAGTGATTGATGCTGGGGAGGTAACAGGCCGCAGTGGGAGAAAGGTGGCCATGTTTGACCTGCTGGCGAAAACCCAGATCCCCAGAAATGGCCTTGCTGGCCTTTGTCCCAGCCCATATCCAACACTTCAGCTGATGTCAGGCCCTGAATGAATACAGCTGGCCCTTCAGGTTCCACTCTGCCCAGAGAGGTGTGACAACTGGCTTCAATTCAGAGACTGTGCCCAGAGGGGCACTGACCCAAGGACTGTCCAGGAGCAGGGAGGCGCTCAGTTGCCCCCAGAGGACTCTGGAAAAGGGAGGGGAAGAGGGGAGAGGAGAGGATCCAGGCAGAGGGCGGGGAGGGAGGGAGGGCTGGAAGAGAAGACAAAGGAAGGGGTGCGGCAGGGCAGGAGCCTGGGAGGCTTCAGAGAGCGGAGCCGGAGAGCCGCAGTCTGGCCGCGGGACTAAAGGAGCACAGGAGGAAGAGAGAGCAGGAGGGGAGCTGCTTAGCTCCACATGAGTTGCACTAGGCTGGGGCTGCTGGAGGCTTCCTTTCCCCAGGTCCCTGCCACTCTTGGGAAGGAGAGTGTTGGATTGCAGCTGTAGTGTCCTTGTTCTAGGACACAGATTGGAGGCTCAGGGCTCCAGCTGTGACCAGCGTTGTTGCCAGCTCACCCCAGCCTCCTGCTTGGTGAGTAGCATGTGTGCTTCTGCCCCCCCAAGACCCAGAGACCCAGAGCTGGGACTCCCAGACCAGAAACTTGAGCTGGAAAGTCACCCCCGCCCTCCCCCCATGCCCTAACACACACACTGCACTTGGCTCTGGAGTCCTAGAGGGACCACGCACCACCTAATGTGCCCTGAGGGTGAGGTGAGCAGTCCAGCGTCCTGGACAGAGGAGATGGCTCTGTCCGCTTTTGCAGTCGCATTGTATCAGGCTTCCTTTCTATTTGCGGAGTGTTTGCTAAGTGAACTGATGCTCTGTGTTCTGGGCTGTGGGTCAGGCAGGCGCTGGGGCCATTAGGGATCGGCGGGGAGAGCGGGCACCTTGCTCCAATATGCCTCCTGGTGTCCTGTGGTCTCCAGGAAACCTGACGCCTGGGCCTGGTGCCAGGGGAGCGTCTGAGACAGTGCGTAAAGCTCCACTCCCTCTTGGCTCACAGGGAATGGGGAACCGGAGTCCTGCCGCCTCCTGGGCCCTTCTCCTGGCCACACTGGGCTCCTCGGCTGGCTTGCCTGTAGGGGTTGAGCCCAGCTGTACTGCCCAGCACCTGGCTAGATACAGCATCACCTTCACGGGGCAATGGAGCCAGGTGGCCTTTCCCAAGCAGTACCCCCTCTTCCGTCCCCCTGCACAGTGGTCCTCACTGCTGGGTAAGTGAATGCTCAGCATAGACACAGGGAGGGTTCTGGGCGGGCACTTCACAGTTTGGAGGGCATGCTCACATTCCATGTACTTCAATGTAAGAAATGTGTGCCAGCCATGTCCTGGCTAAGGGGCTGGTGGCCAGTCCTGGGGGAGGCCAGTCAGCTGGGTACAGGGCTCAGGGAAGAGAATCAGCAGATCTCATGGACTACTCCCTGCAACCCCCACCCAGAAAGTGTATGTGGGGTGGTGGTGGGGAGGCAGTCCTCAGTCAGAGGGTGCATGGGGGGGGGGGGGGACCTCTCAGTCATAGGGTGCATGGGAAGACATAGTCCTCACCCAGAGGAGGGTGCATGGAAGGAGGACAGCCCTAACCTCGTGTGTGTGTGTGTGTGTGTGTGTGTGTGTGTGTGTGTGTGTGTTGGGGATCATCACTCATGCAGAGGGTGAGAGAGTGGGGACAGACAGCCCTCAACCAGAGAGTTTGCCATGGGGGAATGGGGGAATAGTCTTCACCAGAATAGGGGGAAGCAGCCCTCACCCAGAGGGTAGAAGGGGTGGTAAGGAGAGCTTTTATTCAAAAGATGCAGAGGGTGCGGGGTGGGGGGTTGCAGAGGAAATGACCCTCACTGGGGACTTGCCCAGAGGGTTTGAGAAGAGGACACATCCCTCACTGAACAGGAAGTGCAGCCCTCACACCAGGGTGTGTGTGTGTGGGGGGGATGCAAGGCTTACCCATAACAGGGACAGCTGGGCCTCCTCTGAGGAGACACTTGGTCCCCAGGGGCCACGCATAGCTCCGACTACAGCATGTGGAAGAAGGATGAATATGTCAGTAATGGGCTGCGAGAATTCGCCGAGAGCGGCGAGGCCTGGGCCTTGATGCAGGAGATCGAGGCGGCAGGCGAGAAGATCCAGAGCGTGCACGGGGTCTTCTCGGCCCCGGCCGTCCCCACTGGCACGGGGCAGACCTCCACAGAGTTGGAGGCACACTCCAGACACTCTCTGGTGAGGAGGCGCAGCCGGCTGGCCTGGGGACACTGCATTTGGGTGGCTGAGGGTAGGGGTAAGAATGGAGCCTGGGGCAGGTGGGTGTGGGGCAAAGCTGGGCATGCCCGCCCCCCACACCACCCGTGGTCAGCGGGTGGGTCAGCGTCTGGCTGCCCTAGGTCTCCTTTGTGGTGCGCATCGTGCCCAGCCCCGACTGGTTTGTGGGCGTGGACAGTCTGGACCTGTGTGCCGGTGGCCACTGGAAGGACCAAGTCTCCGTGGACCTGTTTCCCTACGATGCCGGCACAGACAGTGGCTTCACTTTCTCCTCTCCCAACTATGCCACCATCCCACAGGGGACGGTGACTGAGGTGAGCAGAGCAGCCACCCGCCTCACCCTGGGATCTTAAACATGGCCCGCCAGGGGGGCACCTGGGCATTAACAACACTTTCAGGGTATCTGTATCTACTTCTGGGTTCCTGATGGTGGGGGGAGGCTCCTTTCCTGGGGCTGCTGGGAACAGAAGATGACGCTCTCAGGCAGGTGAACCTCACCTCTGCTGTGTTGTGAGCCCAGCAGTCCCCGACGACCATACTTGGTTTTTGCCTTGGAAGGAAGCCCGGGATAGAGTTCTGCCCCTGTCCCCTGGGCTGGCCTGCTGACCCCCGTGGACTCTGGAGTTCCTGTGCCAATGACTCCTTCTCCTGCCCACCCCAGATTACGTCCTCCTCCCCAAGTCACCCGGCAAATTCCTTCTACTACCCTCGACTAAAGTCCCTGCCCCCGATCGCCAGAGTGAACTTTGTGAGGCTCCGACACAACCCTAGGGCCTTTGTGCCGCCCACCCCGGGCCTGGCCCTGACCGGCAGGGACAACGAGATCCTGGATACCCTCTCAGGTAACGGTGGGCCACAGCAGGCAGGCGGGGGACAGGTCATCTCCAGAGGGCTTTAAACGCTTCTCAGTCTTTCTCTATTTAAGATGTGGGATTCCCAGTGTTCTGCGGAGGTTTATGGACAACCAGGGTGCCGGTTGCTGGCCTCCTCGTGTGCCGGGACCTGTGGGTGACAGCCTCGTGCCTGTGCCCCACTGTAAGAATACCTCATGACAGGAAATCACTCCACCCCTAGAGTAACCCTTAGAAGCATGCTTGTTGACACTGAAAAGTAACTAGAGGTAACCTTGAGTCCTAGAGGTCATTCATCTGCTGGGTGAGGGCCGTCCTGGTGACGGGACAGTAGCATCCAAGTGCCAGCTCCAGGACGGAGGGGTGGGGAGTCAGAAAAATTAGGGGACTTGCCACATCCATGGACTTGAGACCAGTTACCTCCAGGAGTTCCAGTGAAGGTTTAATCTGTTAAAGGAAAGGTTGGTGGTTCAAATGCACCCGGAGTTCCATGTAAGAAGAGGCTGGCAGATCTGCGTCCAAAGAGATGGCAGACAGAAAACCCTAGTGGGACAGTTCTACTCTGTCATATGGGGTCACCGTGAGTTGGGGGTGACAGACCAGCCCCCCGACAATCACTCGCCTTCATATAGTGCGCTCCAGAGTGCAGATCCAGACACTGTAGTTGAGGGTCCCAAAGCCCGTCTGCCCACTAAAGCATTACACCCCACCACCCCCACCCAGGTGGGAGGTGCCTGAAGCCCGAAGGTGGATGTCAAGGGTGCGAGTTAAATCACTCCTCAGGTCCCATGGGGACCACCTGTGCTTTGGGTCAAAATTAGGGATTCCGAGCATAGTTCTGAAAGACCTGCTATTTGGTTGACTCAGACTCTGAAGTGAAACTCTGAATTCTTCCACAAAATTTGCAAATGGGAGACTTTCCCTGCAGGCCTGAGGCGGGGCAGGGCCACACCCTTCCCAGAACCACCTTCTGCTCACCACCCCTCTGCTGACTGCAGAGACCTGGTGGCCATGTGAGGCCCCACCACTAGAGGGCGGTGCTGAAGCCCTGGGCGACTGAGGACTTCACCCAGCTGGGGCCGAGGCCAATGGGCTTTAGCGCCAGGGGGATTCCTGTGGGAGAGCAGGGCTTTCCTCCACTGGAGAGGTGGGCGGCCACTGACCAGCCCTCCTCCTTCTCGCTGCTCATGGCAGACCCCGCTTACGTGAGGGCCAGAGTTTAGGGTGAGCTCCGGGGGCCAGCTCAGGGGCTTCTAGGGCTCTTGGGATTGGGTCAGACCCAGCTCAGTTTATTGCATGAAATCCCTTCACTCCTAAAGTAACCCTTAGAAGCTCAACTCAGCCCCAGAGGGCAGTGAGGCCCAAGGAAATGTGCATTGGGTCAGACCCCATTCTTGAGGTGGGTCCTTCCCCTCATCAGAGACAGCTGGGCTCAGCCTGGTCCCAGCATCCCCTGCTCCTGGCTTCCTGTCAGCTTCACTCAGACACTGACCATACAGACCACCAGCCACACGGTTTCCTGCTATGTGGACTGGCTCTGGTTTGCCCACTGAAACGTGGCCCATTCATTGTGGAGTCCTTTGTTCAGACGACAGCAGTGACTCCGGACTGGCAGCTTACTGGGCACCATGCTGGGCGCACCCTTGAGGAAGGGGCAGCATGGCTGGCAAACACAAACAGGTATGGTGTCTGCCCCCTGCAGGTAGCCAGAGGAAGGGGTGGCTGATTCAGACATGCTGACCAGGGCCTGGGGTAATGAGGGAGTCCTGAAAAGTCTGTAGAGACTGGGTCAAAGTGCACTGTGGGGCCCAGGACTTGCCCCTGGGTGGGAGTGGGTGGAACCTGGTCAAGCCCAGCGGCACAGTATAATCCAGTGTGGAGAGTTCCACCCAGAGATGCCACCCTCTATGCAGCATCCAAAAGACTTGGGAAGAAATCAACCTGACCCTACTTCAGACCTATCCCAGGCACCCCTAGAATGAAGACTTCAGGCTGACCCCGACTCTCACCTCTGCCACATCAGCACTGACCACAACCTTGGGCTCGTACATTTGTGGGGGAAGACAGATGCACATTTTTGCTAACTCTCTCCCACACCTCTGAGTCCCTGAGGGCAGAGGGTCCTGGCCCACCTCCCCATGCACCCGGGCATCTTTCTGTAAGCCCTGGCTTGGTATGCAAACAGTTAGTGCTCAGATGCTAATGTAGAGGCTGATGGCTGGATCCCACCTAGCAGCACTATGGACCAAAGACTTGGCATTTCACTCTCATAAAGGTGGCTGCCAGACAACACTCTGTTCCAAACACACCCAGTAGCCATGAGCCAGAATCCACTCTTGGGTAATGGGCTTGGCCCAATGTAATGTGCCAGGCACTTGATTTCTAAGCATTCATGTAAACCTAACATTACAGCGATATGCAGGGGCTACCTCGTTGTGCGATTAACCCCCCCTCCCCCCATTCTGAAGTTAGGAGACGTGGCAGTTCAGGGTTCACTCCCTGAGAAGCTGGCTACAGCACCCCTCACTCAATCCCAGTTCTAGACACAGCTTCCGAGAGAGCCCCAGCTTCACCTTGCTCCATGTGTGGGCCAGGTTTGGGGGTCACTGGAGAACACTGCACCTCGGGCTCCCACTAACATTACCCACCCCACCCCCATGCGTTCTCTCTTTCTTTTATCCTGAGTTCATCAGACACTTGTGCTTTTTTCTTGCTTCCTTACCACAGAACTGAGAGGGGGTGCTGGCAGGGTTTGTGGGAGAATCAAGCCCTTTGACCAGGACAACGACAGGGCTGAGATGAGAATGACTAGGGTCTTAGTCGTGTGGACAGGTGACGTCAAAGGTGCTTCAAAGTTAGTGGAAAAGGCAGAAATGGAATTCTAGTCACTGGGAGATACAAACAGTATACACAATCAGCTACTGACACAAAAGTTGCCGGTTCAGATCCACCTAGCGGCACCTCAGAAAGAAGGCATTCCGAAAGATGAACCATTAAAACTTGAAAAGCACAACTCTGCTTTGACACACGTGGGTCTTCAGGGTTCCGATCCAGCTCGATTCTAACTGGTTTGCGGCTTCTTTTCTTGGCAACAGGTATACTACCATACCCACTGGGCACTTGGCTAACCCACTGGGCATTTTCATTTTTACTGATAGAAATCTTGGGAAAGCAAGAGGAACATCTGTCCTGAAAGTGTCTGAGCCCCACAGAGGGGACCCCATACCAACCAGACAGCCTGCGCCCCCTAGTGTCCAACTCTCCCAGCTGTTAGGACAAATGCTTGCCTTTGGTCTGGGCTGTTGTCTGAGAGCGCTCCACTTGGGAGGAGTTTTCACAAAAGGAGCGCTCTCTCTCCATCCTTCCATGGAAGCAAGGAGCCACTCTGTGCGGTGGGCACGGCCGCCAGGGCCACAGACCAATCAGCTGTGATTTGAGACCACTCTGGATCCCAGGAGTAGCTGTGTTAAGTGCCATTGAGTTGGTTCCAATTCTGACTGATTCTGTGTAGGGCTTCTGAGGAACAGCGGGTGGGTTTGAACCTGTGTTTAGCATTCCAGTGCTTATCCTGGAGCGCCACACAAGACTCAAGTCCTGCAGTTGCTTTTTCAAAGGTTGGCTTTGGGCCCATCCGCCTTATGATTGGCTCTGCCTCTTAGCCTTATGTTCCTGTGGTGTCCGTATACACCCAGGGGTGTGGGGAAGGTACCCTCTGTTCTGTTTAGCACCCCAGACACCAGTGTTAACGGTTCGGGTCTTTGTGCTTTGCAGCCCCAGAAACGCCGCTGGATTGCGAGGTGTCGCTGTGGTCGTCATGGGGGCTGTGCGCAGGGAGCTGTGGGAAGCTGGGAGCCAAGAGCAGAACTCGCTATGTCCGCATGCAGCCCGCCAACAACGGGACCCCCTGTCCCGAGCTGGAGGAGGAGGACGAGTGCACCCCAGACAACTGTGTCTAAGATGCACCTGCAGACCCTCGGCCCCCTGCAGGCAGGTCAGGCTGCGAGTGGACGACTCTCTGGTGGTCTGGGTCTGGGGTCTCAGCGGGTCCTTACAGTGAGCTTACAGCAGGCTGGCCTTACTGGGCCTGAAGTGCTAGTCACATTCCTGCACCCTGTGGGGTCTTCCTGACTAAGGTTAAAGACCCAGGTGGGACCCATTCTCTGTGCACCCATTCTCTGTGCCTGCTGTGCCCTCTAGTGGCAGGGTGGGGAATCACAGCGCTCTCTGGTGGCAGGGTAAGGTATCCCTGGACACCTCCTTTCAGCCCATATTTGCTCTTCTTACAATCCACCCCACATCCCAATCTCTCTCTACTCTTAGGCTTTGTCGTTCCCCAAGGACACTTCATATCAACCCAGGCTCCTTAATCCCTCCTCTAAATTATGTTTCATTATAATTTATTACTGCTATGGAGGCTCTGTGTTCAGTGCCAAGCCCAGAATGCCATGCCCTTGCATCCGGGACCCCATCCAGCTGTGACATACCTCACATCTGGCCATCTAGGCAGCCAATGCACACAGGAGCCCCTGGAAGCATAGCCACAGATGTGAGACCTCCACTGCTCATCCCTCAAGGGGTAGGGGGTATCACCCTGTCCACTTCCAGCCCCCAACAGCAAGGGGAGTTAATGACAGGTGAAGGAGGGTCCAAGTTCAGAAAACCCACCTGGACGTCCCATATGATAATTTCTGTGCCCATGAATAAAGACTTTCTAAGATTTCCAGCCTCGGAAACCCTGTGCAGGGTCACTATGTGTTGGAACTGATTCCATAGTACTTAACAACAACAATCCCTCACAAATGCCCTGGTGGACCCTCTACAGGTGCTGATGACCCGGCAGTGGAGGGACACACCCATGTGGAGTAGTGGAGATCATGAAGGAACACTTAGGCAATGCTGTCCAGGCTTGAGCCAAGGACAGGATGGGCACTTGGATGAGGACATGATACCCAGAAACTTCAGTTTCATCTGCTCTTCTGGGGTCCTTTGGGACACAGGTTGGGGCTGGAAAAAGGGATGCTTTGCATAGGGTCAGGGTCAGGCAAGGGCAACTCGAGGGGGGCTGTCCCTTAGAAAGGAGACATTGCAGAAACATGTGACCTGCTCCCTTTGGATCCCTTCCAAAATAAGACAAAGAAACAAGAACCCAAATTCACTGCTATGAAGTCAGTTCAGGCTCATAGGAGCCCAGCAGGTATACAAGGTAGATAGCCAGGACCTCAGGGCTCACAGAAAAGCCGGGCCAGGAGAGGTGCTCTCCTCTGTGGAGGAGGGTCACCTCCAATCCTCGTCCTTTCCGGGGCCCCTGGCTGAACCTCTGAAGCTCCCCTTCATCCCTCTTTGTGGTCTGGGGAGTGCACATCATCAAATGGTCCACAAAGCACCATCTTCCACCCTCCATCACTCCCCAAGAACTCACGAACTCATAGGGACTCATCTTCTTCTGGATTTCCACCCACTTGAGCCCCCAGTCCAGCCAACCAGGTTCAACTCTCCACATCTTCACTGAAACCTGAACCTGTACTGATCTTCCCCTGGCCCCCCCACCTACCATGTTTAACCTTCCCCTGATCCTTAAGAATGCACAAAACCCCTACTGTTAGCTCCTGGACCCACGACCCATCCACCTGAGGATCACAAATCCAAACCCACTGTCTTTGATCTTCCATTGGTCCATCAAAACTAGAAACCTACAGTCATTGTACCCTGGTTCCCCACCTAATTGAAGCCCACCAATCCCAGCCCACAGTCAGCAATGCTCCACGAATCCACCAGAACTTAGTTAACCCAGACCTGTCGTTCCCTAGACACCTACCCAACTGAGGCTCTCCCATCCCAGTCCGCCATCTTTGATCCTCCACTAGCCAACTGGCACCATCAAAATAGCACACAATGTTTGCTAGACCCACAATCACCTATGGCCTACCCAACTGTCATGGACACTTCACTGGTCCACTATCACCAGGGTAAACCTCAGTGGACATCCCCTGGACACCTGCCCACCTGAGGAACCCTGAGCTCAGCCCACCGTCTTCAACCCTTCATGGCTCCACTTCTATGAAGGAAACTTCAGTGGACATCCATTGGACCCCTGCCCACCCAGCAACAGAGGCTCCACTATACCGGGCTATCATCTTCAACCCTCCATTGGTCCACATCCACTAGGCCTCTGCCCACCTGAGGGACTGACAGTCCAGCCAGTTATCCCCAATAACCCCCTCATCCACTGGCAATAGGAAAACAAAGAACCCAGGCTGCTAACCTCAGCAGCAACAGTGTCTCCAGAGGGGCTGCATGAAAGCATGAGTTTCCTGATTCGGATCAGGGTCCTCAAGAGTATCTGTGATCCAGGATGGAGGTCCCACCAGTGCTTAAAGGTGTTCAGAGCACACTTTTCATGCCTTGGTGGGCAGAGAAGCATGGCGGCCTATGGCCTGAAGACCTTTGGTCTGGGACAAAATTCAGTATCATATCCTGGTGGGAAATCATTTTGGGGGACCTTTTTTGTCCTGGGGACTGGTCTATGAAGACATTACAAAAGCCTTCTGCTGAGAGAGGAAGTATATAGCTCAGACACTGGGAGAGTTCAACCCAAAACTCCTACATCTAAAGACAACTGTCAACAGAGAGGCCAGGAGAGCTGGCACCGGGTTTCTGGGCTACAGCACGCCCTTTATGTTCTGGGAGAGGCCACCGCACACTGAATCATTTCTTCCTCTTGAGGAAGGAGAGGGTCTCAGGAGGTGGCAATCTTGCGGAGACCCAAAAGGCTCTGGTACAGAAAAATATGCAACCCCTGTGGTATCAAAATGGGTGGAGGATTATCCTCAGGGTCTTCATCCCGAGTGCAAAGAGTAAGGGCACCTGAAGAAGCCTTCCATTCCTCTCCGACAAAGCTAGTGATGTCTGCCCATGATGGACGTTTCCTGCCTGCCTTGTATTTGTAAACAATTAAAATTGTTACTGTTGCCAACACCATGTATGTGTCTCATTGACAGCTTGATCAGGCTAGATATAGAATGGTTGGTATCAGTGAGTGGAATTTTTACCCTAATACTCTGGTGTAGACTTGAGATCAGGAGACAGCCTTTAAGGCCATCATCTGTGTGGGCAATGGAGGTTTCAGGGCCCACTACACCTTGTGAACAAGTTCCTGGGAATAATGTTGTTGTCTCAACACAAACTCTCAGCTGAGCCCCTTCAAGATCGGAGGAGGTAGTGGAGCTAAGCATGTTACTAGCACCAAGTCCAGGAGAACTTGGAAATGCAGATGTCCCCATCACTGTCTTTATCACAAGACAGCTGGTATCGTACATATCCATGGGAGGTCACAGAGGGGAGCTGGTCCTTCAGTTGAAATGAAAAAGATGTTTCTCAAGGTGGCTCACCGGGGAAGGGCCACCCCAAGACCAGATCACGGGCCAGGAGTGGAATCTGAGTCCTCACATTTTCTAGTTAGCTGGGTCTTTTCATGACATTTGTCTAGTTCAACTTCATATAAGTGCCATGCAGTAGACAGGAGTCACCAAAGCGCTGAGAAATCACCGTATGCCACATCCTACCACCTGGTAACCTGAAGAGAGCTAAGACTGAGCCAATATTGATTCATTTCACACACACCACTTCATCCTCCAC